GTATTTTATTCTTTTTGTTGTGATTGTAAATGGGATTGTATTCTTGACTTCTCTTTCTCCTAGTTCATTTTTAGTGTATAGAAATGCAACTGATTTTTGTATGTTGATTTTGTATCCTGCAACTTTACTGTATTTGTTGATTATTTCTAAGTTTTTTTGTGGATTCTGTAGGGTTGTCTATGTAGAGAATCACATCATCTGGAAATAGTGAGAGTTTCACTTCTTCCTTCTCAGTTTGGATCCTTTTTCTTTCTTTTTCTTGCCTAATTGCTCTGGCTCCAGTACTATGTTGAATTAGAGTGGCGAGAGTGGGCCCCTTGTCTTGTTCTTTTTCTCAGCGAAATGGCTTTCAGTTTTTCTCCATTGAGTATGATGTTGGCTGTGGGCTTGTCATATATAGCCTTTATTATGTTGAGATACTTTCCTTCTATACTCACTTTGTTTACAGTTTTATCATAAATGAATGTTGGATCTTGTCAAATGCTTTCTCTGCACCTATTGAGATGATCATGTGATTTTTATTCTTCATTTTGTTAATGTGGTGTATCATATTGATTGATTTGCTGAACCATCTCTGCATCACTGGAATAAATTCCACTTGATTGTGGTGTATGATCCTTTTAATGTATTGTATTTGATTTGCTAATATTTTGTTGAGGATTTTTGCATCTATGTTCATCAGCAATACTAGCCTGTAATTTTTCTTTTTTGTGTTTTCCTTGTCTGGTTTTGGTATCAGGGTAATGTTGGCCTTGTAAAATGAGTTATGAAGTGTCCCATCCTCTTTAATTTTTCAGAATATTTTGAGAAGGATAGGTATTAAGTCTTCTTTCAATGTTTGGTAAAATTCTCCAGAGAGCCATGTGGACGTGCACTTTTGTTTTTGGGGAGGTTGTTGATTACTGCTTCAATCTCTTTGCTTGTGATTGGTCTATTCAGATTCTCTATTTCTTCTTGATTCAGTTTTGGGAGGTTGTATGAGTCTAAGAATTTATCCATTTCTTCTAGGTTATCCAGTTTGCAGGCGTATAGCTTTTCATAGTATTCTCTTATAATCTTTTGTCTTTCTGTGGTGTCCATTGTAATTTCTCCTCTTTCATTTTTAATTTTATTTATTTGAGTCTTCTCTCTTTTTTTCTTAGTGAGCCTGGCTAAAAGTTTGTCAGTTTTGTCTATCTTCTCAAAGAACAAGCTCTTAGTTTCATTGATCATTTCTATTCTTTTTTTAGTTTCTATTTCATTTATGTCTACTCTGATCTTTATCATTTCCTTCCTTCTACTGATTTTGGGCTTTGTTTGTTCTTCTTTTTTCTTATTGTTTTAGGTATAGGGTAAACTTGTTTATTTGAGATTTTTCTTGTTTCTTGAGGTAGGCCTCTTTTGCTATAAATTTCCCTCTTAGTATCACTTTTGCTGCATCCCATAAGAGTTGGTATGTTGTGTTTTCATTTTCACTTGTCTTTAGGTATTTATTTTTCCTTTGGTTTCTTCATTGATCCATTGGTTGTTCAGTAGCATGTTGTTTAGTCTCCACATATTTGCGACTTTCTCTCTTTTTTCTTGTAGCTGATTTCTAGTTTCAAAGCATTGTGGTGGGAAAAGATACTTTATATCAGTCTTCTTAAATGTTTTGAGGCTTGCTTTGTTTCCCAACATATGGTCTATCTTTGAGAATGTTCCACGTGCACTTGAGAAGAATGTGTATTCTGCTGTTTGGGGATAGAGTGTTCTATATATATCTATTAATTCCATTTGGTCTAGTGTTTCATTTAATTCCACTGTCTCCTTGTTGACTTTCTGTCTGGATGATCTATCCATTGACGTAAGTGGGCTGTTAAGGTCCCCTACTATTATTGTGTTGCTGTCAATTTCTCCCTTTAGGTCTGCTAATAGTTGCTTTATATACTTTGGTGCTCCTGGGTTAGGTGCATATATATTAATAAGTGTATGTCTTCTTGGTGGAATGTCCCTTTCATCATTATATAATGGCCATCTTTGTCTCTTGTTATCTTTTTTATCTTGAAGTCTGCTTTGTCTGATATAAGTATGGCTACACCTGCCTTCTTTTGCTTGCCAGTTGCCTGGAGTATCACCTTCCATCCCTTCACTCTGATACAGGCTGGTTTTTAGTGTCATCTCAGAAGCTGAGCATACGCCAAACCAAACAGAAGTAGATGACCATCACGATGTCCCTCCAGGAGCTAGCACGGTGCAGATAAAGTGGTTACCTTCTCCAAGTGCAGTGGAGACAGAAGCTCCGGGCTGTTTGACTGAGGACTCTTGCTGTGAGAGGGGCAATACTTGACAGGGCCCTTCCCCTCTGCCAGCCGCTGCTGGCCCTGCTGTCCCGGTAGGCACAAGCTCTTGTGAGCACACCTCTAGGAAAGTGACAGGACGTTTGCCAACACGGTCAGCGCCGCCTCTCACCCCGTTTAGGTCACAAAACATGAGGAGAAGGTTTATATGGCTCAAACATTAGGTCTTATTCCTTCAGTCACAGCATTCTCTCAAGATTCCCACGGGACTCTACTTCAGAGCACCCACTGTGGGTCTGTGTCGCCAGCTGTCCAGTCTTTCTCCAGAAAACAGGCCTCTGCCTGTCTTGCTCCCTCCCCAGGCCCGGCGTCCAGCTCCGCGCAAGGCACCCAGCAGAGCGCCAGGAGGCGCTCCAGAAACATCTGACCGGATGCGGGAAAGCAGACTGCCCTGGGGAGGTTCATTCCTTCGGCTCAACGGCCCAGGAAGGCTCAGGGGTGTCTG